CTATTTTGTATATATAAATACAAAATGATCTTTCCTTTGTATCCCCCTTTTTTTTTGTTTAGTCCTCTCAGAGGTGGATATTCTATTAACATCTAAATACTAAGGTGCTTGAATTCAGCTAAATAATCCAACACTGTTCAGCAGTCTATAATATTAGTGGGTTATCCTCAGAATTTATTGACTTGAGCCTTTTACAGCTCATTGTATTAATATGGCTTTACTTTATATACCTCGTTTTTATACTTTTTTGCGGGATGGTTAAGACCAAGATAGAGGGGCTGGAGAGATGGCTCAGTGGTCTAAAGCACCTACTTGGAACAAGCTCGGCAAAGCACAGGGACCGCGGTTCGATCCTCCAGCACCACATGCCAGCCAGCCGCACCCCCTGGTGGGCTGAGCTGGCCACACACACACACACACACACACACACACACAATAAATAAATGTAAAAAAAATAAAAAAAATAAAAAAAAAAGACCAAGATAGAGCAATACCTATATAGCAAGAAATGTAAGTTTTGTATCTGATATGGTCAGTCAAGTACCCTCAGGATTTATCCTGTAGCCGTGTACCACACTTTGTAGATCCTTTGTCAGTGTCAGTCATGAGGATGAGTCACGGCCATTGATTGACCAATTTGTTCTCTGTGAAAGCCTGAGAGAATGTTTTTTCTCTCCATGTGACTCTCCCCAGGCACACTATACATCATCCATCACATTCCTCTGTGGCTCCATAATCTCCTTGATCAGAAAATTTGGAGCACAACTGAGTTACATGATGTTACAGTACAGGTTCTCCCCTGTCCTAAGTCTTCACTGACCTTGGAAGGCTAGGGCCAAAATGTTGGCTGACCTTGCAGCCCTTCCTTTTCTCCAATTTAGATCTGCAAATTTAAGTTGTTAACCTTCCAGAAGAGAAGTTTATTATTAACCTGCAATATATGCAGTTCAGTTTACCCTTTCTGTCTAAATATCAAACATCTTTGGCATATCATAGAACAGGTATTTTCCATCAAATATTGATATGTTGAACTTTAAGACCTCTGTAAGGAAAAATAATTTTATAAAGGTAGAAATAAGCACTTACATAATTTTACCACGAAATTTAGAAATGTAACCATATACAGAATTGTAACAGGAGAGACCTGTGACATTTTTTTTCTTATTCTTGTGACTTTTTTTTTTTTCATTTATCACCCTTTTAAAAAACAAAACAAAACAAAAAAAACCTTTACTTGAGAGACATTATGGCAATAAGTGGTATGTCATGACAAGAAGTACATATTCTTGTTGCCTGATTCTGTTTTAGCTGTAGCTTCCTCTTTAATCCAGTACTGACATTTCTAAGAAAGGCTGTCAAGTATATTTAGCTTAGATACACCAAGGAACAGAGCAGAGAGGCTCTGCACTTTGCTCTTCTCATCCCCACATTCAGCTTTGGTGTATGAGGGTGGGCAGCAGGACAGAAACCCCTGTGCTCCAACCCTTGCTGACTCAGTTCCTTTTCTGCTAATAGTAGCAGTGGTGATACCTGTGAAGGCTGCCCCACCTCTACAGACATGGCCTTGCATATAAATTGATTTCTTTTTGTGTACAGATCTGTAGTCTTATAGTGAGCAACAAATTTACATCCCTGTACTTTTGGAACTATTGTACACTAGATAGTATTTTTTAAATACTTGTTTCCTTTACTTCTCTCAGGGTGCGGCTTTTGTAGAGTTTGATGTCCATCTTTCAAAAGACTTTGTGCCTGTAGTGTATCATGATCTTACCTGTTGTTTGACCATGAAAAAGGTATGTTGATATTCCTTTATTTTAATCTTACTGTTAAGTAAAAGATTAAAAATTAGGAAGCTTTTCATATTTTTAGTTACTTAATAGAGTTAGTCAGTTGATTTTTTTTGGTGAATAATTGTCAATCCCTTCCTTCCTCAGGCTCATGCAGTATTGAGAGTAAGGTGGAAATGTAGATGTTCTGGAGAAGGGCATCTGCTGCCTTCTGTTACCAACAGAGGGATGGTCCAGGCAGTTTCTGAATCACTGTTCCTGTCAGCTATGTTGAGCAGCAGAGACTACCAGTGTTTGTTTGCAGGGCCCCTGTCTATTTCTGCTTGTTATTTCTCAAATTAATAACCTATATAATTTAACTAAAGCAGTAAGAACAACAGTGAACAACAAGAGAAGTAGTTAAGAGTCAGATACATGGAGGGCCTCCTTGAAAGAGAATTAGATTTAAGAGGTAGAGATACAACATTTTATCCAAGAAGGAAACCATTCAGAACTGTGATTCATGCCCAGTGTCTTGCTGATTGGTATAATAGAAATTTTGGAGCTCGTGGATGGGAGACAAGGGGAGCAGCACCATGGGCCACAGGGGCCAAACAGTTAGGAAAGGTGGAGAGAAGGGTGCCTTGGGCTGTAGAGTCAGAATGGAATTTAGGAAATGGCACCTGAGGTTTTTTTTTTTTTTTAATTGTCATTGTGCAAACATAATTGCCATGTAAGTCACTGAATTTTAGTATATAGATGAACCAAGTGGTTTTATAGGAATTTAAAATAGCTTTGTCTCTCCCCTGGAGCAAAGTACTATATGCAACTTAAAGAGGAGAAGTTTAGTTTTGGCTCACAGTTTCAGAGCTTTCGATCTATGGCTGGCTGCCTCTCTGGAGTGGTCTGTAGGGCATCATGGCCAAGGTACATCTGAGATAACTGCTCACCTTCCAGTAGCCCAAGCTGAACATAGGAGAATAGGGGCAGCAAGTGTGGCCTCCAAAGGCTGCTTCTGCTCCAGTATGCCCCACGTCCCAAGGGCACAAGTGCTCTGCACGTCAATGGCTTGATCCACTGAGTATAGTGCCCCAGACCCAGCCACCTCCCCAGTAATCTCAAGATCCTGTCAGGCTGATAGTTCAGGTTAGCCAGCACAAGGGTCATTTGGTACTTTCTTTAAAACTGTATTAGGTAACCATTTTCAGTTGAGTTGATTTCAAGTGAAGGCCATTGTGCTAACAGGTGTAGAACTGTAGCAGCCACTGCATTTTGTGCAGAAGAGTGTAACAAGGCACCGGGCTTCCCACTAGTAGATTCTAGACAGTCTTAGGGATTTGGTGTGCTATCATGTATGAGAGGAGAAATAAGGAAGGAAAAAAATAGATCTATTTAGATTCTGTGGCAAACAGAATAATTAAAACAATGGGTTTTGCTGTAGCTGAATATTAATTTTAAAATCCTGAGTTTAGGCTGGACATTCTTGCATTTGTGTGTAATTCCAGCCCTTAAGAGTCTGAAGCAAGAGGAACTTTGTGAAAGTGAAGCCAGCCTGACGTATATAGTGAGACCCTGTCTCAAAAAATAATAAAAAAGTATCACTACCCTGTTTTTATCAGTTTGTCTTGTTCTGTAGTTGAACTTGAATGAATTAACAGGGAATGCTGAATATATTTTAGTATTTGGTAGGATTTTATGGGGGGTTTGAGACAGAGTCTCACTATGTAGTCCAGACTGTCCTTGAATTCATGGCAAATCTACTGCCTCAGCTTTCTGAGTACTGGGATTATAGGTGTGTGCCACCATGACTTGCCTGTAGTAGGTATTTTTTCTTACAAGTACAGTTCATTCCCATTATTTTAAAAATGCAAATAGTCCAAAAGATTGTGAAATGCAGAACAAATCTTTTCCTTGATCTCACTCCCATACTCTTACTAGTTTCTTGTGTATCCTTCCAGAAAAACTTTATGCATAAGCAGGTTTGTACCCATGTATGTGAACAAATAACTGTACATACATAACTATATGCAGTTGCATTTCAGTGCATTTGTTGGGTTGATGATTTACTGGTGTTATCTTAACTCATTTCCTTAAGATAGCAATACTTTCAGCAGTGTAATATTTGATATCAGGCCTACTAGATTTTTTTGTTTTTAAATTTATGTATTTTGTACAGGGTCTCACTACGCAGCTCGGACTCATAGTGATCCTCCTGTTTTCATCCTCCCCAGTGCTGGGATTGCAGGCGTTGGCCACCACACTCAGACTCTGTTACCAGCTCAACACACTGGGGCGCAAGGCTGGCACAGCCTGTGGGACCCAGGATCAAATCCGGGTCCCTATGCTTGCCTAAGCAGGCGCTTAGTCTGCTGAGCTATCTTGTTGGCCCTAATAAAGATTTACTTAAGGGGAAAAATGGTAGATCAGGCTTCTTGAATAGTAATACTTATAGCTAATTGGGCACCTCCCCCCAAATTTCTTTTGTATGACTGCCTTTTTTTGAGACAAGGTCTCACTACATAGTTTAGGCTAGCTTTGAACATACTGTGTAGCCTGTGGTGGCACATACCTGTAATCCCAATACTCAGGAGGCCTGGGCTACGTAGTAAGTTTAAAGACCAGGATGAACTGCATAGGAAGACCCTGCCTATCTCAAAATATGTAATAAAGCTAATTCTATGTAATAGTTGCATGTTGGTTTCTAGACATATGGCATGGACATGTGTCAAGTAAAATTTATACCGCATGTCAAGAAGCAGGGACAATTATGCCTGACATCTCACTCTGTCTTCAGTTGTGTCTTCAGCGTTACTTCTTCCCAGCTAGTATTTTCTTCCAGTCTTCCTGACCTGCATTAAGCACAAAAACAAGTAACTGAACGTATAGCACAGTGGTAGTGTGCTTGGTGGGCATGCATGAGGCCCTTGGCTTGATCTTCGGCACTGCCCAAAAAAAGGCAGATGTGTAAGAGCTTGGAGTTGGGGAGGTGGTGCTAGGGCTTTTCTGCATGAGATTGCAATAGCTGTCTCATAGCTATGCTCATCAATCAGTAAATTCTGATCATAAGCTTTATAGTATAAAAGTTCAGCAGTAATTAAAGTAGGGCCCATTCCCTCCCTTTCTTTTTAGAAATTTGATGCTGATCCAGTCGAATTATTTGAAATTCCAGTAAAGGAACTAACATTTGACCAGCTCCAGTTGTTAAAGGTAATGATGGCAGAAAAATGTAAATTAACCACTAGATTTGACACTACTTGTACTTATCTATAATATACCATTTTCTTTTTACACTGGGATGACTTTTGTCTTTTTGAGACAGGCTCTTGCTATGCAGTTCAGACATGCTGGGCTTGAGCTCATTTCGTAGCCCAGGCTGGTCGAACTCGCAACAATCCTCCTGTCTCAGCCTCCCAACTGCTGGGATTACAGGTGTATGCCACCATGCCCAGCCATATTCCACCCTATGCAGTAGTCCCTCTTTATTTTGTGATTTAACTTTTACAGACTTACTGTTTCGCAGGTTTTCAAAAAATGTTAATCTAAACCATTTATTGTGGAGTTTTTGCTACATCATGGGATTTGGCAGTACCATACAGAATACATATGCTGTTAAAATTGCATAAGTTTATGAGTTTAGAAAATGGTTAAAATGTCAGAAGTGTTTTTTTTTTTTTTTTCAAGTGTGGGAAACGTTTATAAGAGTGTGGGTAGGGTTTGTAAAGCCAGTTTGTGTGTGTGTGTGTGTGTGTGTGTGTGAGAGAGAGAGAGAGAGAGAGAGAGAGAGAGAGAGAGAGAGAGAGAGAGAGATGGTACTTCACTGGTTTCACTTATTGCTGGGGTGGTGGTATCTGGAACGGAACCTCTGCGATAAGTGAGGGACCACTGTACTCAGTATGTGTAGAACAAGCTATAGTTTGCTGTTCTTTCTTTTTATTTTTTATTTGTTATTTATTAGTACAGAGTCTCACTACCCAGATCAGACTCAGTGATCCTCCTGTTTTCAGCCTCCCAAGCTCTGGGATTATAGGTGTGCAGCACCATACCCAGTCTTAATGGCCATCTCAGTGTACCCTGGGGGCGGGGCCAGGCCAGCATGGCATGTGGAGCCAGGGATTGAACCCCAGTCCCTGCGCTTTAGTCCACTGAGCTATCTGGCTGGCCCTGTAGTTTGCCGTTCTAATTTGGGAGTAGTGGGTTTACGCTGATCCTCTATTTTTGCATCGACACAGAAGCTAAGCCATGTCTTTGTAGACCCTTCCCAGTCTCAGACTGCTTCCAGCCTGAGGCAGTCCCTTAACTGTTTCTACTGTATTTTACAATAGGCTGTTTATGTGGTAGTTCGTTTTACACATATTTTCATTCCTAGCATATTTTTATATTTTGTGGTACCATCTAATTTTTCATGATTCTTTTTTCCATCCCTATTAGATATCTGAATATGAACAATTTCCTAACTTGCAGATTTTATATTCTTTCCTTCCTCCCTCCTTTGATCATGAACTTTTGTTACATGCTTATTCTTATTAAGCTGGTAATTCTACAGTTTCTTGTCTTTGCTAATTTACCAGGTTTTCAGGTTACCCCTCCCCGCCTAACCCCCTTTTTTTGTGCCAGGAATTAAACTCAGGGCTTTGTACTTGCCAGACAGGCACTTGTGCTGCTGAGCTGTATTTCTGGACCTAGGTTACCATTTTATTAACTATGTCTTCATAGAGGATCACTTTATTTCTGATTGCATTTTTCTGTTTTGTAGCTTTCTCATGTAACTGCACTAAAATCTAAAGATCGGAAAGGTATGTATTTGTATGGAAACACTTTGCATTTTATAGTTGGCATTATTAGTATATTCCCTTAACCATTATAAACTAACATTCCAATTCCAGGTCATCTCTTGGGCCACTTTAGTGTAATTTCAGATATGTGAGGTACTTCTATATTAATTTTCACCTCATTATGTCATGTGCATAGTAACCATTTTATTGTTTTCCTTTAGTTTGGTGACTTAAGATATTCATAGTTTCATAGCAGTCTTTCTAAGGATATAGCTATTACAAAGTAGAGTAGTATAGCATCTGAATCTGTCAGGAGTTTGAAACATTATCATTTATCACCTGTGACCTTGGACAGGTGATATGACTTGATCACTCTGTGCCTCATTTTCCTCCATACTTGTGACTCATTTTGCCTTCTGCTCCCATAGAATGTGCAATTCATTGTTTATCATATCCTTTTTGAGATCCCTTGTTTTGTTTATTCTTGCGCCCTTCAACTAGAATGTGTAAAGTCTGTCAAGGCTGGGAAAATGGCTTTCTGTTCCTAGGGATTTACTTTTGCAATGGTGTATATGTGGTAGGTTTGCAGTTTGTCTGTGATTGTAATCATGCACAGTAGATACATTGATGTAGAAATTGTGAGAGGCTTAAGACTTTAAGGATTTTCTGCCGCCCTAAATTGTATAACTTTATAGATTTTCATGACTATTAGCAGTATGAGTTTTAACTTTAAGATATTTAAAGTTTTTCGTGAGTTTAGTCTGTGAATATATAACACACGAGTTGGTAGGGCTTGATAGAGATTATTTGAGTTTGAGAACAAAAAGTTCATTTTTGGGAAAAAAAATATGTTGTCATCTCTTTTTTAAAAGAAAATGAAAAAACTGATCTGTATTTTAGACTGAACAAAAGCCATAAGAGTAATCGTAGATTCTTCTAATCTATTAATTTCTGAGCTGAGTTTTACATTTCAGGTAAAATTCTTAACAAAATGATACAATTCAGTTTCTTTAGGAAATAAAAAAGTACTTCTCATGACTATTCGTAAAAGTGTAGTACTAAGTATTCTGTAAGAAAATAATCACATTTGGGACCACAGGTTGGCATTTGTATTAAAGTGTGGCAGAATAATCTTCATGATGGGTACTTATTTAACAAATGCAGTTTTTAATGGTTAGTATTCATAAATACAAGAGCTTTCAAAAATCCTGCATTTCCTAAAAGGACCTGATAAATACTTCACTGTGCTCTCAGTTTTTTAGGGTTTAGGAAAAGATGGCAGTGATACAGTGACATTTTATTTATTTTTTGTCATTTAAAATTTCAGAATCTGTAGTTGAGGGAGAAAATTCCCTTTCTGAAAACCAGCCATTTCCTTCTCTTAAGATGGTAAGTTGATTCAGTAAAACTAGGGCAAGGGTATTTCATTAATCTGTTATTGCTAATTTATAGCCTAAATAATTGATTTCTGTCATTAAAAAGACAGTGTCAAAGATACGTTAATTTATCACCTTGAGTGCCTTTAGGCAAAAAATGCTTTTTTCTTTAATTGTACTAGAGATAGTATCCTTTGTATCCATATAGCAGACAAGTGTTCTACGACAGGGCTACATCACCATTTTTTGTTTAGAGAGAAAGTCTGGCTAAGTTACCCAGGCTGTCCTCCAACTTGTAACTGTCTTTTTTTAGCCTTCCTGATGAGCTAGGATTACAGGTGTGTGCCACCATACTCAGCTGTAAAGATACATTTTTTATGTGTTGTAGTTGTGCCACCTTTTTGCTTGTTTTTTGGGTTGTATTTATTTTAAGACAGGATCTCACTGTGTAGCCTAGGCTAGGCTTGAACTCAGTATGCTGCTCAGGGTAGCCAGTTCTTGTGTCTCAGGTTTGTGAGTACTGGGATTTCAAACATTGTACTACCATGGCCTGGCTCCTCTCCAGGCCATGGGGAGACCAGGTCTCACTAAAGTGCCTAGTCTGTGCCTGAACTTGTGATCCTTTTGCCTCAGTCTCCCAGATTGCTGAGATTATAGGCACACAGTAACATGTCCTACTTGATTTTTTATGTGGTGTCAGAAATTATGGTGAATATTTATATAATAAAACTTCATTACACAGTAAAAAGCCTGTTGCTATTAATCTCCTCCCTTACAATACTCCCCGTCACTTTGAACACAGTTATCATTTTTGCTACCATCTAAAGCAATTCTAAAAAATCTTCTTTCATGAGTCTTTTCATGGCTTCCTCCATGTCCTGAAAGAGTTCAAAACATGTATGACCTTTTCTGTCAAAGCATACCAGTGTGTCCTCAGCTGCCCTATTAGATCTGACACCATGTGTCTTCTGGCTTGTACGCAAAGTAAAAATGTTCATAAAAGGTAAATGTTTTCAATCAATTCAGGACATTGAGGCAGTCACGACAGCACAACTAAATATACAACAGAATATTTACCTTACATTTCAATCATACTATGTGTTTAGCATAATAAAGTCAGCTAGGTTATCAACCAGGTTATCAGTTTGAATATGAGAAAAGAGTGGTTTTTACTAAAGACAAACATTTTATCCTTATTTAGTGATATTCTTGTTGGTTGCTTTTTGTAATTCTGTTTTTTTTTTTCTTATCTATAATCCATCTTATCAAAAACAACAAAACTCATCACGAATAAACAAAACTCTAGGTTTTAGAGTCTTTGCCAGAAGATGTAGGGTTTAATATAGAAATAAAGTGGATCTGCCAACAAAGGGTAAGTAATTCTCTATACTGTACTTTTTTCTCCCAGTTCCCATTTTTAAAAAGTTATTTCAATCCTTTTTGTTTTAATGGAGTTAAATGAAACTGAAAATCTTGTAGCTTCCTTCATCAAAGTGCAGTGCTTCTTGGACCTTTTTAATGAAGCATGTTTTGTATTTACATGTGAGTACTTTTAAAAGTGATGGATCAGTTGGAGAAATTTCAATCTGTGTATGTCTTGTGTGCTCAATAAGAGTGATTTCTAGGCATACTTACAGTCAAAACTCTGAGCTTTTAATTAATGTATTTTTCCATACAAGCACATTTTAGATAATATCCTAAGCAGTTTTCTGTTGGGTAACAGCTACTGGTAGTTCTCCAGGAAAGGAAATTTCTTGCTTATATTTTTTAAGTCATTCTTACATGTACTCATTCTTTCATTTAACCAGTATGTATTGAAAAACTTATGGACCAGGCATTTTCTGAGTGTTGTATGCAAGTAGTGAACAAAATAGACAAGGTTTTATCTTTTTGGAGTTGACTATTCCCTACATTAGAGTGGGGCATATGTATAAATAGGTAAAATGTTTGGTCAGAGGACTGGACTGGCAGTGTGGTTTTTATTCAAGTATCATAACTGGGCACTGGGACTAATTGTCTGGAATTTGTTTTGGTCACTATAATCTTTATTTATTTATTTATTTTGGTGACTCAGTTATCTTCTTTATTTAGCTTCATCGTAATTAACTGCATATATTTGTGAAATTTTATGGAAGACTTTAAGCATATCCAAAAGAGGAATAGAATAGCAGACTCTCTTATACCTACTACTCAGATCAACATATACCAATTTAGAATCATCTTATTTCATCTGAAACCCAACTTGTTTCTCATCTTCTTTCTTTCTTTCTTTTTTTTTCTTTCTTTTTTTTTTTTTTTTTTTAGTTTTATTGAAAAACAAATACGAATGAGACAGTTTCAAAGCTGATTAATAGGACAGTTTCAATAATTAATACATTGTACATTGTTATCTTCTTAGTGGTTATCCACAGTACAAGAAGCAGACAGGATATCCTGTCCAAACACTGTTAGTACAAATCTTTCTTCTCATTGAATTAAGCGAAAGTAGCTGTATATCTATCCTAACTATTTTGTATATATGAATACAAAATGGTCCTTGTTTTGTATCCCCTTTTTTTTGTTTAGTCCTCTCAGAGGTGGATATTCTGTTAGCATATAAATACTATAGGTGCTTGAATTCATCAAAATAATCCAACACTGTCCAGCAGTCCATAATAGTAGTGGGTTATCCTCAGAATTTATTGACTTGAGCCTTTTACATCTCATCGTATTAATATGGCTTTACTTTATATACCTCATTTTTATACTTTTTTGTGGGATGGTTAAGACCAAGATAAAGCAAGACCTTTATAACAAGAAATGTAACTTTTGTATCTGATAAGGTCAGTCAAGTCGCCTCAGGATTTATCCTGTAACCCTGTACTGCACTTTGTAAATCTTTTGTCATTGTCAGCCATGTGGATGAGTCACTGCCATTGCTTGACCAATTTGCTCTCTGTGAAAGTCTAAGAAAATATTTTCTCTCCATGTGACTGTCGTTAGGCACACTATACATCATTGATCACATTCCTCTGTGACTCCATGATCTTGATCAGAAAATTTGTATTGCAACTGAGTTGCATATTGTTACAGTACAGATTCTCCTATGTCCTAAGTCTTCACTGACCTTGAAAGGCTAGGGCCAAAATGTTGGCTGACCTTGCAGCCCTTCCTTTTCTCCAATTTTTGATCTGCAAACTTAGGTTGTTAGCTCTCCAGAAGAGAAGCTTATTATTACCTTGCAACATAGGCAGTTCGGTTTACCTTATCTGTCTAAATATCAAACATCTTAGGCATAACGTGGAACAGGTATTTTCCATCAAATGTTGATATGTTGACCTTTAAGTCCTTAGAATTAGGTTGTGTGTGACAGGCTGAGCTGGTCCTGTTCCACCAGGATTTTCCTAATACGTGATTTTACTTTTCTGAGCTTGTTTTTAAGACTTGAATTATTTTAAAGAATAGTATTTAAAACATTTAAACTTGACTGTCAGTAGTGTATCTTGCCTATATTTGTTGAATTAGTTTTTACTTTTTTGAGGGTGGTTGACATAAAATCCAAAGAATGAGATTTTACAGTGTATCTTAGGAGTAATTGTTATAATTTACAAGGTTATTTTGAGGGTTTTTTTTGTAACTGAGTTTTCATAATAGGAGCTCAATTAGCAAATGAAATGTCTTACAGTTTGTGGAGATTATAAGTCATAATAGATGCAGGTTGTCACTTTTTTTTTGTTGTTGTTGTTTGTCTTTTTGAGAGGGACTTGCTGTGTATTCCAGGCTAGACTTAAACTCTTAGTGATCCTCCTGCCCTTATCCACATCATCTTTATTTTGTTAACATTAAAGCAAAAGCTTAGACTGTTAATAATACAGTTAATTCCTTCTCTCTCTCTCTCTCTCTCTCTCTCTCTCTCTCTCTCTCTCTCTCTTACTCTCTCACACTCTCACTCTCTCACTCACTGTATAGTTCAGGCTGGCCTCAAACTCACTGTGATTCTCTTGTCTCAGTCTCTTTTAAGTGCCAGGATTACAGGAGTGTATCACCCAGTAGTTACTTTTTTTTAAGGGTCATGAGAAGGTACTGCAGACAGAGATAAAGGATGCACTCAAGGGGCAGAGTGTGAGTGCTCCAAAGTGGCACCCAAAAGTTCCTTTTTATATAATGTCTATATCTGATATGGTTGCTGTGCCAGCAGTTAGTAACTGTGAGGTTTGGGGAAGTCAATCTTCAGGTTTTTGGCTTTCTCATCTGTGAATTAGGTGAGAGTTGGTCAAAACCACTCTGAGGTATTTATTTCATAACTATTAGTATGGCCATAATAAAAAGAGTCAGAGCTGTGTTGCTGATAATGTGAATAAAGGGAACTTTTGTGTACTGTTAGTAGGAATGTAGATTAGCATAGCTATTATGAAACACATGGGGGTTTCTAAACAAGTTAAAAACAACTGGTATGTTACCCATCATTCACTCTTCTGTGCATGTACCCAAAGAAATGAAATCTCTACCTTGTAAAAAATAAACTGTGTTCCCATCTTTACCCCAGCTGTATTATAATAGCCAAACATTATAGACAACCTGAGAGTCCATTGGCAGACAAAGTAAGGTCCCTGTATGTGATGGAAATGTACTCAGTGCTGGAATGGAGCGACGCCTTTCTATTTGCCACATGCACATGAACCTGTAGCAGATTATGTGCCAAGTGACCCATAATAGGCCAACAAGAGAGAAAAACTTTGTGTGGCATGTATAGGGGATCTATAAAAAATTTTAAATTAAAAATATACAGAAATAGTGAAAAATAAGCTAATAGTTAATAGGTTAAGAAGGACAGGAGGACAAGGGGAAATACAGGTTGAAGGGTACAAAACAGCAGATTTGTAGCATGAACAATCTAGAGATGTCATGTGCAAGAGGACCTTAAGTAAAACACTAGTCATATGAGATGCATACAGGATGGATAGATTTTAACTGCTTTTGTTGCCCCCCCCCCCCAAAAAAAAAAGGACAACTATGTGAGATGGCAAATAGTTAATTTGCTTTAGGTTAGGTTTTTTCACTGTCACATATAACATCCTTGTGTATACCTGAAATAAATTTAAAAAAATTTTTTTTGATGCAACACTTTATTTTTATTGAGAAATAAATATGAATGAGACAGTTTCACAGCTGATTAATAGGACAGTTTTGATAATCAATACACTGTACATTGTTATCTTCTTAGTGGTTATCCATAGTACAAGAAGCAGACAGGATATTCTGTCCAAACACTGTTGGTGCACCTCTTTCTTCTCATTGAATTAAGCGAACGTAGCTGTAAATTTATCCTATTTTGTATATATAAATACAAAATGATCTTTCCTTTGTATCCTTTTTTTTTTTTTTTGTCCTGTCAGAGGTGAATATTTTATTGGCATCTAAATACTATAGGTGTTTGAATTCAACTAAACAATCTTAACACTATCTAGCAGTCTATAATATTAGTGGGTTATCCTCAGAATTTATTGACTTGAGCCTTTTACAGCTCATCGTATTAATATGGATTTACTTTATATTTATACATTTTTATATATTTCTGCTGGATGGTTAAGACCAAAATACAGCAAGACCTATATAACAAGAAATGTAACTTTTGTATCTGATAAGGTCAGCCAAGTACTCTCAGGATTTATCCTGGAGACCTGTACCGCCCTTTGTTCATCCTTTTGTCAGTGTCAGACATGAAGATGAGTCACGGCCATTGCTTGACCAATTTGCTGTCTGTGAAAGCTTGAGAAAATGTTTTTTCTCTCCATGTGACTCTCCCCAGGTTCACTTTTCATCATCGAACACATTTCTCTGTGGGTCCATAATCTTCTTGATCAGAAAATTTTTAGCACAACTGAGTTACATATTGTTACAGTACAGGTTCTCCTATGTCCCGAGTCTTCACTGACTTTGAAAGGCTAGGGCCAAAATGTTGGGTAACCATGCAGCCCCTCCTTTTCTTCAGTTTTGATCTGCAAACTTAGGTTGTTAACCCTCCAGAAGAGACGCTAATTATTAACCTACAATATATGCAGTTCGGTTTACCCTATCTGTCAAATTTATCAAACATTTTGGCATATCATGGGACAGGTATTTTCCATCAGATATTGATATGTTGCACTTTAAGTCCTTACAGAATACAAAGAAAAAATAATTACATAAAAGTAGAAATAAGTATTTACATATTTTTACAAAGAAATTTAGAAACCTAACCATATACGGAATTATAAGTCCTTATACTAGGGAGACAATACGATATTTACAGATAAAATATGTAAACATGTGTTACGCTACATGCTTTCAGGAATCTGGTTTTATTTTTGTTTTCAGTGCTATGATTCTAGAGTATGTAATGACTTTATTTTCCTTTTTCTTCTACATAGGATGGAATGTGGGATGGTAACTTATCAACATATTTTGACATGAATCTGTTTTTGGATATAATTCTAAAAAATGTTCTAGAAAACTCTGGGAAAAGGAGAATTGTGTTTTCTTCATTTGATGCAGATATTTGTACAATGTAAGTAATACTGAGATTCTCTTCTGTTTATGTAGAATATACCTCAGGGACAAGCAAAGGCTGCCTGTCAGTTTTCCCTCTTACTTGTCCTCTCCTCATGCTATGCACATTTTCCTGCCCCCATCTATTTGCCCTAACTGCTGCAAAGCCTCAATCAGTGCTACATTTCCCTGCCTAGATCTGACCCCTCAATTTTTTTTTTTTTATCACCCATTTCTGAGAGTTTTAGCTCTCGTGTAGAAGAACTTGACAGACAGCACATATCATTGGTGGTTATACTTGAGTAATAGAATATTGTGAATTTTGCTTTGTTTTCTTTATATTTTTAATGTTTTCTAAAATTTCAAAATACCACAATTAAGGCCCATCCATACTTTTTAGATGAGATCGGGCGTGTTCAGGGAGGTATGGTCGTAGACACCATCCATACTTTTTAAATTGTCCTTTTTAGGGTTCGACAGAAGCAGAACAAATATCCCATATTGTTTTTGACTCAAGGAAAATCTGATATTTACCCTGAACTTATGGACCTCAGATGTCGGACTACCCCTATTGCAATGAGCTTTGCACAGTTTGAAAATCTTCTGGTAAGTTATGTTTGACTTTTTAGCTTTTAGTTTTCTGTTCCTGTCTTTTAGGGCAGTAGTAAATCTTACTTTATGCACTCAGTAGTTAAAAGTCTAACTAATATGTAATAATAAAGTAGCTTCATTAGATGTGAATGTGTGTCTACCATTCAACATTTGTGTTTATAAATTATATCCAGGCATGATGGTGCATACTTGTAGTCCCAGTACTCATGAGGCTGAGGCAGGAGGATTGCTGGGAGTTTAAGGCCAGCCTGATTTGCATAGTGAAACCCTGTCTCAAAAAACAAACAAAGAAACAAAAAAAGACAGCATATGTATATTAGTAATACATTGTATATATGAAATATCCCTTACAAGCAATAGGGTTATTCTTTTTTTTTACAAATATTGTTTATTTTAATGAAGTTGGTACATACATGTCCATTTAAAACCCATATCCCAGGCCAAAAAGTACAAACACAATCAAAAGGAGCAGTGTTCTGTTATACATACATCTGCGTGAGTAACTTTATTAATTTTGAATGAAAATTAACTTTTCTGGGATCATCTGACAAGATTTTTTTAAAACTAAAACCGCTTTCTCTTCAATGAAGCTACCCGTGGAGTTGATCAATCTCTCACCATGTCTGTCATCTAGACACGAAAGCTCATCTTTCTCTTCTTTTTGGTCCAGACCCTCAGATTTTAAGCTTCAAGTTAAGGAAAGGTCATTTCTCCACAGTTCGGTTCTCTGAAAAACTTCCACCTCCCACTGAAAGTTATAGTCCAGGAGTGAAGCAATCACAAGCTCGAACTTCAGGGCCACCTGAAAAGCCACAGGAACAAGCACACGGCTCGACCTTATGATCACAAGCCTGAAAATGCACAGTCCTGAAATCTGCGGCCTCTCTGTGCACACATGTAATTTTTAAAAAGCAGAAGATAATGTGAGGAAAACTGAGGTTTCATCACCAAAATATCAGCACAACGAAAACAATGAATAATGAGCACTAGAATTCAAATTACTGGATGTTTTAAAGAGATGGGATGCCGGTTTTCATTTCCATTTTGAACACCACATTACAAAAGAACTATTTTTTAAAAATAAAAAAGGATTGAGGGAAAATAAAAAGAATATCTAAACCATTGAATGACCCCCTGTTTGTTCCTGATAAACTTCAATCACATCTTTTTCCACCATTCTCAATTCTTTTAGAGTATGATTATCAGCAATTGTCTGACCTTCAAAGAGAAACCTGAGTGAATTCATTGGAATGCGCTGTATGATTCTTTCAGTTTCTTGAGATGTGTTGTCATTTTCACTTTAAAGTGAATCTGCTATCCTGTGCAGTGACTTTGAGTTTAATGTAGTTGCCTTCCTTCTTATTCCCCAAGTCCTCAGTTGATGGTTTTGCCTCCTGATCAGACATGGTGATGGTGGCTTCCCCCGGGTCTCCACATGCAAAAACTTCTCTCGCTCTGGTGTTTACAATCCCGTATACCTACCTCACAGCACAACACTGCAGTAGGGTTCTAAGAAAAAAATCCTAATTTTTTCTCCTCCTGTTTACTCTAGAGAGTCTTTATAGAGCATGAACTTGTAGCATTTGCAATAATTATGTGACTTACTTGTAAGCACAGTTTTTTTTTTCTTTTAGGGGATAAATGCACATACTGAAGACCTGCTCAGAAACCTGTCCTATGTTCAGGAGGCAAAAGCTAAAGGCCTTGTCATATTCTGCTGGGGTGATGATACCAATGATCCTGAAAACAGAAGGAAATTGAGAGAATTTGGAGTTCATGGTCTAATTTATGATAGGTACTTGTTTTGCATAAAAAAATCCCTGGAATATTAGAAAAAGTGGGGGCCTGCCCCTTAGCTCAGTTCTTGGGGGCCTGCCCCTTAGCTCAGTTCTTTAAGTGGCTGCTTCAACAAAGCAGTCAGGCTCAGGTTGCTGTGGTTCGATCCCCACAACTCAA